GTAATACTTCAGGCGAGGGAGAGTATTATTTACCCCTGTGTAAAGCTTTGTACCTTGTTAAATACATCTTAAATGTTTCAGTCTTTCAGTGTTTATGGTCACAAGGAAGTAGGTAAATTATCTCGAAAATATAAAAGAATCACATGAAATTAAGCACCATTGCTGTGTTCACCTGATGATTAAACACCTAACCTAACCTAACCTAACCTAACCCCTAGGTAGCATTAGGATGACATAAGCTAAGTTGCCTAATCATCTTGTGATCATATTTAAAGAAAAAAAAACGTCAACATGAGAGTAAAAAATTTTCTTTAATTTCAATCAAAAACTCATGAAATGTTAAAATGTTCTTTCCAAACTTCAGTTCCTTAAGTGAGTGTTTGCCAAAGCTGTTGTAGCCTGCTTGTGACAGCTCTGACGCCATCAAAAGAAACCTTCACTACCATCTTTAGTTCACAAAGACGCCCAAATTGTAGTCATTTTATACAAAGAGAGAACAATAAGACTTAAAGGAAAAATAAGACTAATTAATATTTAATTGATGAACAGTGGCAAATTAAAACCAGCACACTTAACCACACGTTGTTCAGGTAATGTTAACTTGCTTATTTAAGGCTCAGGTGTTGCACGTCCATTAAACTAAAAGGTTTAGACTCTGCAACAAAACATTTCCCTCCGCTACAAACTTTATTACAGAAGCAAAAATATCCAGGAACTCTTCTTGCACTTTTGGTCCTCGCGTTTGAGACAATATTAAATATAATAATAATTAATATTTACAGATCATCATTACAGTACAGCAATAAAACTTTCTTATGGGAATATTGTGTAATATTTACCAGAGCAGAGCGACTCATCCACTACAAACAATATGTAAGACAGGGAAAATATTTTTATAACGTCAAAATTGTTCCCAGTTTGACTTTCAGAAGTTATGACTTGATGTATTTGTTTTGTGTTCTCTCAACGAAAGTGACTCCAACTGTTGTTACATTACGGTTATAAAACAAACGTCCCCAGTACATTACAGTTATTAAAAGAAGAGACGACACATAACAAAGTGGTTTAGCTTTTTTCATTGTGCGTGAATCATTCTAAGTACACATTAATGGATAGGTAATGATCGCTCCATGTTTCTGTGTATGTCTTTGTAAAATATCTTGTCAACAGTCAAAATCGTCGCAGTGATAGAGCTTGACTTATAATATTCACTCCACTTCACAGAGTCTTGTATTATGATTCCAAAGACTCAGTAAATATTCAACTGAAGGCTAAGAGGTATATATTATATGTAAATAAAAGTTGATACTCCCGCAAATTTAAAAAACTTTAAAAACTATGTCTTATTTTTTCTTCTAAACTTGTTATAAAAGTTGGTAAAAAGTTTCTATATTTCGGTTAGGCTTTAAGAGGTCGTGTCTATTCCTACGTAGAAAGTTTACCGCGTGTCAGAACAAATGGAGGAGAGGAAAATAAATCGTGATTAAGGAAGAAATCAAACAAGAAAATTTATGGGACTTACAAACACGAGGAAATAAATGAGTACTTCCTCATATTTGTTGACCTGTTATGAGGGAGAATTTTTAACCTGTCTCCTCAGCAAGTGATATTTAATCTCTTTCTTACCCAGGGTGTTAAGGTCAACCACTCTGGGAAGTCATCCGGTGGTCTTGGTAATATATATTCTCGATAATTTTACTCAACATAATTCTTACCTATTACAGCAACAGGTTATTGGGATCATATGAAGTTTAGCACCCCCAACCTAACCTAACCTAACCTACTAGGACGTGCTTGGGTATTTAAACAATGAAATGAAATAAGTTGGGGGTGCTAATCTTCATATGATCCGGTTATTGTATTATAATCATTAGCTTCCACAGTGTATTTAGTAATTAGGAGTAAACTGAAAGAAAATAAAAATAAAAGAGAGGAAAATACCATGGTCTTACTTGTAGAGAGAGAGAGAGAGAGAGAGAGAGAGAGAGAGAGAGAGAGAGAGATATACCCAAGTACTGTACACAATAATTTAAAGCTCTCTTTCCTCCCTAGATTCAACAATTATTTTTTTTTGCTCTTTCCCACCACAAAAAAATATTAAATATCTCCGTCTTAATCTCATTGAAATCATAAAATAAAATAATAATAAAAAAAAAAAAACTCCCAAACATACCAGAGTTGGGTTCACTTTTTTTTCAGTCAAGTTAGCTGAGGTTGGCCCACCTGTTCCACTGATAGCCAATTAAAGTAACGAGCTCCTTCTTACCGCCTGTTGCTCGCTGGTGCTGTTGGGCGGTGGCTTGTACAGACTCATGGCAGGTGTGGGACTCGTACAGAACGTGCACAGATTAGTAAGAGTATTGCACATAGTCATCAGAACTCTGTCATACTCGTTAATTAACTCTGTCATACTCGTTAATTAAGAATCGTTATAAAGTATTTGTTTATGTTTGCGTCACTGTCATTGACCTTATTAAGCACCGCACGATTGAAACTAACAACTTGGCTTGGCTGGTTTACTGTGTCTGTCTGTGTCATAGAAGAGCAGAACAGAAATACACTAAGTGGTTTGGGGAACTTAAGTGTTATGTCTCCTGGACATGCAAGTGCGTGCTCGTAAACACACACACACACACACACACACACACACACAGTAGAGAGAGGAGGTTGTATGTAAGTGTGTCTGTTATTTGTTTGTTTTGTGAGTTTTTGTGTATTCATATGTGGAAAAAAAGCTGTGATGAACGAACATATCTCCCCCCCCCCAAAAAAAAAAAATAAAAATACCGTTTCATTTAAAAAAAATTGAAATTGCGTAATTCATTTATGTATTTGATCTATATGTTAAGAGTATAGTGTCGGGATACAGCAAGGGTTACAGTTAACACTTGCCTACAGTTATCGGATACAAAATTGTGTTAGTTTTTATACTTCGAAATCTGATAGAATCTCGCTACATCGTGATCATGTCAGGTGTTCGTGGTTACAGGTGTGTGAAATATTTGTCACTTTTCAAACTTAAGTTAAATACTAAAAGTCAAAGGTGAAACAACGACAGATGTTGACCTAAGAACCACATTTTGTCCAGGAGAACTTGTGTAACTTCTGCCAGTCTGTGTTGAGAAGTTGGAGATGTTTTCTGGTATCAAGTTCTCCAATGGACTTAGAAGTTGTTTCCTTACGTTCGAACTTTAAGTGACCCCAATAATCATACTTTAAGGAGGCGAATTTCAATACAACATCGAGAAGTTTAGGAAATATTGTTGCCTTAATAATGTTCCTGGTCGGGCTGAGACGTCCTAAGAGTTGTCCTGAATATTGGGTTTTATCATCTATTGCGTCACGTTATTGTGATTGCATCAGCTCTTAAAAAAATTCCCCTTTGAGGTCATACGAGGCACAGCAGCGGTCATATGTGAGATGGCACAACAACAGGTAATATATTCACGACTTTTGGTAGACAGGTAGCGTGTTTACCTGTCAAGAGCGTGTGTGTATCACCTCTAGGGAGGAATATAGAGGCACGTAGAAATGGCTCCCTAAGGGCTTAACGTTCCATTAGGGTAGAGAGGATACCGCTCACTGGAGTCTAAAACCTTTTTCGCTACACAGGAAGGCAGTGTGGCCGACGCTTCACCCGACCTTCGCTTTATCCACAAGGCTGCCTCACCCCCCACCTCCCCCACCCTAAAATATTGTGTTGTTTGTTGAATCTCTGCAGCCAACAAGACCTTACTTCCTACCATCACAGACATCAGGGTACATTATTATTAATTTCTGTATATATATATATTTTTTTTTTTAAATCTACTACTACTATTACTAACACTGATACTGCTACTTCTATGAATGATAATAATAATAATAATCATGGTAATAATAAGGTCATACTACTACTACTACTAATAATAATAATGTTATCATATTATAATAAATCAACCAGTCGGTAAAAAAATCGACTGAGAGAAAATGCTATAGGGGGATGATGGATGGTGTATATGGGGGAGATATGGGGGTGGGGATGGTAGAGGTAGGGGGTGGGGATGGTAGAGGTAGGGGGTGAAGAAGAAATTATAAGCAGGGAGGGAGGGACGGACGGAGGGAGGGACGGACGGAGGGAGGGAGAGGGCTGGTGTCAGATAAAATAAATACACCTATTAAACAACTACCAATTAATATCAACAATCAAGAAAAAAATACCAAGACTAAAGTTAAATAAGAAAATTAATAAAACAATAGACGAAAGAAAGATGGTGTGGTTATATTGGATTATGACACACACACTTGAGGGAGCCATCACCAACACACACACACACTTAAGAGAGCCATCACCAACACACACACACATTCCTAAGAGAGCCATCACCAACACACCTTAAGAGAGTCATCACCAACACACACCATCTTACCAACACGGACATAGGGTGTGAGCCATGAGCAACACCTAAGCCGTGCTACACTTATTCTTTCTTCCTTCCTTTATTCCTTCATTCCTTTCCTTCCTTCCATCAACTCCGTCCACCTGGGGGTACAGACCACCTCATGCTACTGGGTACCCCCCCACACACACACATCTCATCAGCATTAAAACAAATATATATAAATAAATACAAAATAAAAACTCAGCATGTAAATCCAAAATAGAGTTCATAAACTAATATTTATCTTCTTTTAACCTGACACACACACACACACACACACACAGACACTTCAGTCGCCGAGGGTCTTTTGAGGACACCCTTAAGTTAAAAATATACCTTGTACTGCGAAACGTGGAAAGAAAGTATTTTTTCTTAATTTATTTTCATTTTTTTAAGGTGAACTATGATATTTTTATACACACGATACAACATAGGTCGATCAAGATAGTTTAGGGGAATAGAAACCATGTCGACAGTAGGTGAGGATAAGGGAAATGGAGGTGTTATGGGGAGATACCTTAGCCACTACAGGTAGAAAGTTATTGTTGGTACGTGGTAAAAAAATTCTACTGTACTTACATTGCCATAAGGTGTGAGGCCTCGGGTGTTGGGGGGTGGAAGTCCTCGCTCTGAACACTCTGCCCTGGGGGGAGGGAAGGTATACTTGTTGGTGGTGTGTATGAGAGAGAGAGAGAGAGAGAGAGAGAGAGAGACAGAGAGAGAGAGACAGAGAGAGAGAGACAGAGAGAGAGAGACGTTGAATAACCGAAATTTTGGTGTTTGAAATAAATTTGACACCAGAAATCACTTACCAGGGTGTGTTAGGGTGACTTACCAGGGTGTGTTAGAGTGACTTACCAAGGTGTGCTAGGGTGACTTACCAGGGTGTGTTAGAGTGACTTACCAAGGTGTGTTAGGGTGACTTACCAGGGTGTGTTAGAGTGACTTACCAAGGTGTGCTAGAGTGATTTACCAGGGTGTGTTAGGGTGATTTACCAGGGTGTGTTAGGGTGACTTACCAGGGTGTGTTAGGGTGACTTACCAAGGTGTGCTAGGGTGACTTACCAGGGTGTGCTAGGGTGACTTACCAGGGTGTGTGGCACTTGTGTGTGAGGGTCACGTAGCGGACGCCCAGGTCATACAATGATCTCACAACGCCCATGCTGCTGGCCAGCCCATGGCCGCCCTCCACGCCCATCAGGCTGCCCACACGCCCACGCTCAAACTCCTCCATGATTTCTGAGGGCGAAGAGATGCTCGTGTCAGAGTACCATGAGAGAGGACAGTGTCAGGGTAACCTTGGTCTGTCTGTCTGTCTGTCTGTCTGTCTAGAATACAAGTGATCAAGGCTACAGGTGTGCTATACGAAACAGGTGTAAGATGGTCTTGAGTGTACAGGTGTAAAGAGGTCGTGGAAGTTAGTGTAGCGAATAACACACAATCATTAGAAGTGTACCTTTATGTTGTTATATAAGAACAAGTGGAAAAGTATAATACCTTCATAGTGTTGGTGTTAGAGGAGCAATGTTGGTTGTGGCCTCAGTAACGTTAACATAATGGCACAGATAGTGGAACCATTAAGAATCTATTAACCACTGGTATTGTCTAGTCAACAAAAAATGACATAATAACATAAACGAGTCTAAAAAAAATATAGAGAGCTTGAACGTTTAATTCACTAGTCTTTTATTTTCTTGCGTCTTTATTCTCTGGTTCTCTGTCAATTTCTCGATGACCTCAGGAAGTTCTGTTTTAGGAGCCAAGGAAATTGTACATTAACATTTCCTTCCAACTGCCGTCTCTTCGAATTTGCATATCTTATGAACTCGCTTTTAAGTTGAACGTCAGTCGTTACGCGTCACCTCTGCTTGTTAAGTATCTGTTAGTGTTGTTCTGTGGTCCTTGGCGACTGTCAGTAACGCTTCCTCCTTTGTTGATGTTTTCTTTTATTTGTGTCCTTTAGAACCAAAGTTTGTTCTACAGTGAGTAGCTGAGTAAATATTTACAGTGGTAATAAATGAGAAGAACTGAAGAATAAAATATTAGAAATAGAGATACATAACATTTAATGGAAATAGAAAAAAATACCTCTTTGTTAACATGACTCCACTCCTGACAATGTTTCGTTTTTACTTCTCAGCCAAACTGATCATTTGCGAAACACTCATCAGCTGATACATAAACTTCATCATTAGGAAGCCATGACCGCCTCGTCGTCTCTAAGTTACCAATCGCAGCTTGGGTTCAGAACGTCGTCTTCTCAGAAACAACTGATGAAATATTCTACAAACAAAGACTTGTCTCTCTCAGATTACTGGGCGTGTGTGTGTGTGTCGTGTGAGTGAAGCAGCTGGAAAGTAAACAATCGCTTTAGGAAACTTAGAAATATCTCCCAACTGGATATGTCGCTGCTTCTTGTTTTTATCTCTTTCGTCCAACAGTTTTAACAACATAGTCGAACAAACGATGGAGTACGACCATTACCGAACTGAACTAAAGGATTTTACAGCGACATCTGAAACTGTGTAAATAATATCCCTCTCTCCCCCCCCCCAAAAAAAATAATAATAATAATACTCGGCAAAGCGCATCAACTATGGAACTTTTCACTAACTGGCAATAAGAGACACTTATCATTGTTCAATACCTCTCAATAGGTTCTATGTATGTAGTAAAGAATTTTCCAACCATGTTATAAGAGGATTATTATTGGATAGGAATAAAACCGTAGAGATACTCGCCACAACACACACACACACGCAACAAAGCTCACAGTTTCCTCGGTCCCTCTGCCTGCGGTGTTGGTCGGGTGAACTTCAACTAACAGAGAGGGAAATATGTGGTACTGTGACCGTCTCTCCCTATCTGCTGGTGATGACTGCTGGCCAAGATCACCAACCAGGACGTATAGGATGGAGGGGGTGTGGGAAGAGGAATCATCCTTTGTGGTTTTCCCATAAGCTCTCTCTTTGAAATATTGACACTTCACTCAACTGTTTTTTTTTACGGTGGCTGAACTCTAATCTCTCTCTCAACTAAATATTATCCGCAGCTCCACCAGAAAAACCTCTCAATTTAAGTCCACTAATGCATCATAGCACACTTGCCCTTCAATATCACACCACACACAGTATACACCAGCCTCCAAGACTACACCTAGCCCCGTAACTACACGACCTACACCTAGCACCATGTCTACTACACCCTCCACGACCTACACCCTGCACCACGACCACACGACCCATGACCCACACCCAGCACAATGTGTACTACACCCTCCACGACCTACACCCAGCACCATGGCTACAACACCCACACATTGGTAATCTTTGCGGATCGTTGAGTACGTAAGGATTGCTTTTTGATTAAATCCCAGAAGGACGGGATGTAGTGATCTAATATATTTCCTTTATTCTCTCTCATTCTCAAGACACTTCCCTACCCTCCCCCATCCTCATCACACACCTCCCCACCCTCACCACCAACACACACCTCCCCACCCCACACACCCCCCACACACACACACCTCCCCACCCTCACCACCAACACACACACCTCCCACCCTCACCACCAACACACACCTCCCCACCTTCACCACCACACACACACCCCACCACCAACACACCTCCCCACCCTCACCACCAACACACACCTCCCCTCACCACCAACACACACCCCCACCTCACCACCAACACACACCTCCCCACCTTCACCACCAACACACACACCTCCCCACCTCACCACCAACACAGACCTCACCACCAACACACACACATCCCCACCCTCACCACCAACACAGACCTCCCCACCCTCACCACCAACACACACCTCCCCACCCTCACCACCAACACACACCTCCCCACCTTCACCACCAACACAGACCTCCCCACCCTCACCACCAATATTGTAGTGGTTGGAAGATTTGTGGTGGTTTAGAGAAAATCTGGATACCGTATCTCATGGCTCGCTTCTTTTACCATTGTGATAAATTCCCTTTGTCTCAACCTGTTCACTCACTTCTCCAGGTCTTGCAACATGGTAAGCCTTTGTATTCTCTCGGTTGGAGCTCCATATTTGTATTTTATTTCACGTTCTTCGTATATGATCTCCCCCCCCTCAGATGTTCTCATTGCTCACACGAAGAGATATCTCCTCACTCAGTGTCTCTCTTCACTTGTGAGTTGAGGAGTGTCTCTCATTCCTTTCAGCTGTGGTGTTGAAGCGTCTCCCTTCATTCCTCTCGTTCCCCTCACCTGAAGAGTCTCCCCTCACTCCTCTTAATTCCAGTCCTCCATGAAATACCATGAAGTGAAGGCTGGCGTGAAATACCTTCATCAGTTGGAAGAAGGACTTACTCTCCACACTATTGTATCACCTCACAAAAGCTTATATGTAAGTCATGAGTGTCTTTGTTGGTGTGTTGTGTGACGGCCATAGTGTACTGTACGTCCTCTTCTGTACTGTTGTTACGTGTTATAATATTTAGTGTAGCTGTACATTTTTTTTAGTTTAAATCCTTCACTTCGGGGACGCCACACTACGGGGACGCCACACTACTGGGACGCCACTATTAATATTCTATTTGTCTAACGCCACACGAGTTTATTCAGCACAGACTCCCGTACACAAGGAGTTAATAAACTATCTCCACTAATTGTCATGGCCGTCGTAGTAACATAGTTGTGAGTTATCTATTTTTCCTTCTTTATATTTCCATTATTTTATACTTATTCATTTATTCCTCTCAACATAAATGCATATTCTTCACTATGCGTCGCTAGCGTACTGTAGGTTACAGTGTGCTGTGTCCACGCTATATTCCTAATGGGTCGCCATGCTCGTGGGACCCACTTTCATTTTCACTATCATTGTGCCAAACTAAACAACATACACTGTTTGAATATTAAAATTGTGGATGTATTTGCCGGGTGCCCTTACACGAGAACAAAAGCCCTCAAAAAACACTCAGCCATGACGATACTATTATTATTAATTTAATATTTGTATCTGTGAGTTTATGGCTAAATAAACGGTTTTAAAATTGACTGGGTAGTTGTGGAGTGTCGCCTCAGTCCCCTCAGCTGAAGTCTTCCCCTTTACCTGAAGTCCTCACCTGAAGTCTCCCCCTCCCCTGAAGTCTCCCTCTCACCTGCAGAGGATGTGACCAGCACGGTGTGGTCGGGGCTGGCAGCGATCATTCTCTTCACAACGTCGATCTGTTCCAACAACAGCTGTACCGTGTTGAGGTACTGTGACTCACACGGTACGTACACCGACCAGAACTGTGGGATAGACGGTACACGGGGATTAGTGAAGAGACGGTACACGAGGATCAGTGCGAGAGAGACGGTACATGAGGATCAATGCGAGAGAGACGGTACACGAGGATTAGTGCAATTTTAATTAGTTTAACAAATTTGTTGATAAAGCTTGTAGTACAGTTTACCTATTCTGAGTAATTCAGTCAGGTCTTGACACTGAGGGTGGCATCACTTCTCACTGCCACGCAGGACAGAGGTTCATACACAAAGAAATACATCATATTCATTAACAGCTATATATATAGAGAGGCCAGATTC